ATATAAATTATATGAATATAAATATATACATGTAAATATATGTAAATGTTTTCAAAATATATACTGTATGTGTGCGTATTTATATATAAATAATAAATATACACAGTACACACATATATATTATGTAAACAAAAACTTTTATTTTGGATCCGATTAATCGCGATTAATCGTTTGACAGCACTAATATATACATATATATGTATGTGTATATATATATATCTCTTACAACTGTTCAGTTAAAATAAATCTCCCAAATGTTGATGATTAGATTAAATGTGACCTTTCACCAGTGAGCTTCAGCACATAAAACACACATCATTTTTTTCTCTTTATCCAGATAATAAATGGTTCATGAACCATCCCTTGATCCACATCAGACCAATTCTATAGGATTTTTTTTGTCTGTTTTATCATCTACCAGATGAAACCATAGGTTTAATCACTAATAATAATAATAATAATAGTAATAGCACATCTCTCCTCAGCAACCCACATGATTCAAAATATGATACTGATTTTTGTCAGTGTAATGAGGAGAAGAAAAACAAAGAGTAGCACCTGAAGGTGATGGCATAAGAGTCTGAATCTTCTCTCTGTCTGATGAGGAAGGCTCCATCTCGAGGGATCCTCATGAGATAGTCCTCTGCCTCACCCCGACTCAAGTTACTGTAAAACCATCTAAAAACAAGAAAACCACAGTTTCACGTGTACGGTGTGTCTACAGTTGCTAGTGAGCATTAAAAGTAGCTGTCCACGTGGTCTTCTACAGCCCTGCTGGCTGGGATGTGGTAAACACCATGTAGTTTGTTTGTGCGTGTCAAGTATCGACTTACCCTTCTTGCAGGTGCTGGTCTGGTCGAGGCACAAAATCAGTGAGGCGCAGGTTGAAATCCTGACAGCGGAGAGGGCTTTCTCTGTAATACTGGACAAGCGTGTACACACTGGGGAAGTGCAGGTTGTCTGTGAGGAAATAGACAGTGTGGCCTCCTTCTAAGCAGGAACGGATTCGACAATGTTGAACTCGTCCGCTGCGCCTGTAAGGACCACACAGGGAATTTAATTTAGCTAAATGTGCATTTCTGTGCATTTGTGACGAAAGAAGAAAAGTTATTAACATGAATCATATGGATCATTCTTGTTAAGCAGCACTTTCTGAAACTTATAAAAAATAATATGCTTTTATTATAATGAAATGATTTCTATTAAATGGTATTTCTTTCAGAAATATACTCTAGTCATGTAAATATGGAAGCCAGTTTCTGCCACTGAATAAAAAACAAAAAAAGGTAATTGCGACTTTTCATCTCACAAATCCGACTTTTTATCTCGCAATTGCAAGTTTACATCCCACAATTCGGAATTTTTTTCTCAGAATTCTGAGAAATAAACTCACAATTGCTAGATATAAAGTCAGAATTGTGTGATATAAACTCGCAATTGTGAGTTATAAAGTCCGAATTGCAAGATATAAAGTCGCAATTATGAGAAAAAAGTCAGAATTGCATGATATAAACTTGCAATTGCAAGTTATAAAGTCAGAATTGCGACTTTATATCTCGGAATTCTGACTTTATAACAATTGTGTGATATAAAGTCGCAATTCTGAGAAATAAACTCACAATTGCTAGATATAAAGTCAGAATTGCGTGATATAAACTCGCAATTGTGAGTTATAAAGTCAGAATTGTGAGATATAAAGTCGCAATTCTGAGAACATATCAGTCTTTTTTTCCCCTCAAAATTGGATGTTATAACTCGCAATTGTGAGTTTATATCTCACAATTCTGAGAAAAAAAGTCAGAATTGCGACTTTATATCACACAATTGTTATAAAGTCAGAATTCCGAGATATAAAGTCGCAATTCTGACTTTATAACTCGCAATTGCAAGTTTATATCACGCAATTCAGACTTTTTTTCTCATAATTGCGACTTTATATCTTGCAATTCTGACTTTATAGCTCGCAATTGCGAGTTTATATCACGTAATTCAGACTTTTTTTCTCGTAACTGCGACTTTATATCTCGCAATTGCGACTTTATATCTCGCAATTGTGACTTTATAACTCGCAATTGCAAGTTTATATCTCACAATTCTGAGAGAAAAAAGTCAGAATTGCAAGTTTGTATCACGCAATTCTGAGAAAAAAAGTAAGAATTGTGAGATAAAAAGTCGCAATAACCTTTTTTATTTTTTATTCAGTGGCGGAAACGGGCTTCCATATGTAAATGTATTATTTATGACTTGATTATTTACAAAACTGAAAGAAAACTAAACTCAAGAGGATGGACATAAAGAGCTGAGGTTAGCCATTTCTGTCAATGAGGAATTGAGAATCATTTACTGGAGGATGATGTCATTATACAAAAAAACTTTACACAACCAGGAAATGCTCAAACTAAAGTAGCAAAATCAATATTGTAGAAATTACTGTAAACTTATTTAAATTGGCACAAATTATATAAAAAACACAGTTAGCTTACAAGTTAATTGTGATATTTTTTCATCCACCTTTGAAATTTTGATATTATCATACTGATTAAAAAAGAATGATCAAATTTAAATTCAAAACTCAAATTTAATGCTAAAATGTAATGATGTTTATACTGTTTTGTTCCCCACCCAGTATTATGCCATTTTCAGTTTTTGCCATTTCTGATTACCTTATTACCACAGAGACATGCCCAAATTAAAGAAGTAAAATTAATGCAGTGGAAATGACTGTAATATATGACTTAAATTAGCATATCCATATCCAAATTTCATTAAACTTTAAAACGTTTATATTATCATACTGATTTCCATATTTATTTTAATCAGATAGGACGGAATATATATATATAATATATATATATTATATAATATATATATATAATTTACCCCATGCTCACTATTATAGAGAAATTGTGCTACATGTTACTAATTAACAGTACTACTTACTTTAATAAGAAATGTCACTAATATGATTTTGATTTCAATCTTTAACAACTGCCAGATTGTGACAGGACATGAAAATATACTGCATAGCAAGACTGACCCATATAAACTGCATATTCGGCTTTTTCCCTATTTCTTCCATTTAAAAAGAATAAATTAAAGAGGATAAATAAAATAAAACATAATACGAAAAACCATCCCTCCTCTCTCTAAAGAGTAGAGCAGGCCTACATTACCAGAACGAGAGGGTGCAATCATTGACGAAGGTGTCGCTCTCCCGCACCAGAAATGTCCCGTCAACTCCACCTGAATCTGCACAATATTCCTGCAGCAGTCTCTCGGCTGTCTGTCTGCCCTCTGACATCCGCCCGTGAAACCAGGCCTCTGACTGATGAAGCTCTGTACCGCCCTGAGGTGACTGAGGAGAGGTGAATTACACAGTGAATACCTTTAATTTATGAGATTTTTTAAGTGAATCTCAT